TGAAGCAGGAGAGTGAGCCAAGGAAGGGCGCGCGTTGAGGGCATGGTGGAGTGAGGGGCTGGTGGGGTGGGGGAAGAGACAAGCAGCCAAGAGCAAAGTGCCGTTCTTGGGGTGTGCCCAAAGCTCTTGTCTGTGTCCTCTGGGCACTGGGGGCAAAGGAAGAGTGGCTGAAGGTAGGAAGGCGATGTGGAGTTGGAGGCTTTTCAAGTGCTGGCACCTTCCCGCTGTCGGGCTTTGGTGGGAGCGTCCTGCTGGCCAAGATGGCAGGCTGCTTCAGCAACCAGCGTCGGCAGAGATCAGAGACAGCCACACTTTGGTATGGCTGAGCATTGCTCTAAAGAAATCTGATGATTATTGTACTTGTCACTTGTCATAGTGTCTTCTGATAGTACTGCCAGACCTGGCTAGTTCTGTGTGAATGGTTTTATCCACTGCAATCCCTCAAAAAAAAAAAAAAAAAAGCAAAACTGAAAAAAAAAAGGTAAAACAGAAGAAAGAAAAATCCAACACAAAATGTTTGAAGTGATTTATAACAAATTTATCTTGGATAATAATGAGAAAGCCTCCACTAAGAGATCCTTTGCCTACATACAACCAAGCAGAGTAGTTAATGTAATGTTGAGGCTTATGTTCAAACTGTTTAACTCCAAATTAGCTTCCCTGTCTAGGGGATGGGACAAAGTCCTTCCTATCATGCAAGGGTGACACGTAGTTTCCTTAAACCACGTTGTGGAAGGAGCTGAGTGGTGACTCTGGTGACTACAACATTTGGCGATGATAAGATGCCATCGTTTTCTGGTGGTGCACAGCATTACGGTTGGTCTTCCATGCATCTTGCAATACCGTGTGTACACCTGTAGAATAGCTGTTGAAGAGTGTTCGCTATAACTCAGGCTGCTTATTTTAAAAATTTGTATATCAGCTGTTGGACCAATGAGCTGTTGAGAAATACAGCGGTGAATGTGGTCTGCTTGGCTAGAAAAATGTAACGCTATGACCATGGAGCTTCAAGCATGGCCCCTGTGCCTTCCCCTGGCAGCACACACAGTGAAAGCCAGCTTTTGAACCATGTACGCTTGTGTCTTCTTGGCTGCAAGAAAAACTAGCTTAAAGAATGTAAAGGAGGTGCTTTGCCATCAGTTGACCACTTGGATAAATACAATCAAGTTGCAAAAACATAGCTGAGAGTTTCGTCTGAGGAGCAGGAGGCATGTGTGTGGAAGAGCCGTGTGATTTTAAAGCCAGGTGGACAGTCCCCAGAAGAAATGCAGGCAGAAGTTTTAACCATTTTTAGGTTTGCTCGGGCTGTGGATAAACTTTTAAACTATGTTGTGCGGACTTCACACATGCATGTGAACAGCTTCCGTTAAGTCTTTTGGCCGGGCACGTGCCGCTCACATGGGCACTTTGGGGAGTGCTGGACCAGGGCCACCAAAGCTGCGGGGGCCTGTCCTGGGTCTCCCTCCTCCCCACGCACCATGGTGGCGCTGCCAGCAGGCTCTAAAGCACCTTTAAAATACCTTTTGTTATGAGTGCTTTATGCTGTAGTGCTGCATGGTAGAGCTGAAGCCCTGCCGAGGTGCCCCATCACAGAGGATAGGACCAAAATTGGGAAAAAACTTGATGGCAAGCTGAGGGTTTAAGCTGTGGGGTGGGATCAGTTTGTCCCAAGCAAGGCACAGTTTGACGGGGACAGTTCTGCAGTTTTATGTGTAAAATTTCTGTTCTGAATCACAGCTATTTTATGCTATAAAGATTTTATAAATTATATATAAATGCTTGGATTTATAAAGTATGTGCACAAGTATTTTTGTCTTTTACAGTATTCATCTGCATGTGATTCATGCAATATATGCAAACTGTACTTGGTTTAAATTTTAAAATATACGTATTTTGCAAAATTTGGTGTTTCTCTCTACATTTTGCATCCTCTGTTGCTCCTTGTAAACGATTGATACAAGGCGAACGAGTCGCAGTTTAAAAAGCTGCCCGAATGCACCCACCCACTTCCCTTCCCAAGCCGGCTGCTTGCAGCCCCTCTCCTGATCAGTGTCTCTGCTGTGCTAAGCAGCAACATCCTGCTCTTTTTAAAACATAAAAAAAGGACTACTGATGCACTCACAACTATTTGTTACATCCTTTGCAAATGGAAATGTGCGAATTGCCATGTTGTTAGTGATGGGGGACGCTTGGGCACCTGGAGTCTCCTTCACCTGCAATACCTATCTGTAATGGACTAAACAGTTAATTGGAAGCTAAATTTGTTTTGAAGTTAATATATGCAATCATAGCATGACATCCCATAAACCACAGAATATTTTGTGTTCATTGAGGAGCCTAACAAGGTTTTGTTGTCAAGGATGCGTATTTGAAACCGGGTAGGGCTGTATCCTTTCCTCAGCATCATGCCTGCCTGGAAGTGGTGTGCCCGTGGACCTCCAAGTGTCCACAGCTGCTTGGGGTGAGCCCTGATTGCTGCAGCATCTCAGGACCTTTGGGATCAGGGAAGGCTTTCAGCTGGGCTTTGTGCTGAGGCTGTGTTCGTGGGACCCTCTCAGGACCACAGCCATTCCCGCAGGGCCAGGCTTGAAGAGGCAAGTTCTCTGGCAAGGTAAGACACCTCATGCCTTCTGTATTTTGTTAACCTAAAGCACCAGGTCCTCCTGTGAACCCATGTGTGTCTTTGCTGTCTGTGGAAATGCTCCCCACCTCTTCACCCCCGCAGCTGGGGTGCCTCCACAGCTCCACCGTGATGGTAGGAAATGAGGTTTTGTGGCCAGTTTGATGGTTGTGTTCTGTACTCAGTAACGCAAAGGCATCAGCTGAATCCTCTCGAGTACATGTGCCCGTTCTCTAAAGTAGAACACTGCTTTTGATGTGAACAGGGTAGGAGATGATAACTTCCAGCTATGGATGCATTAGCCTCAGAGCCTGGGCTGTTGACTTCTCCTTAGTACTGCCCTGTACGTCCTGGTCCAGCACTCCAGCTCTCCATTCCGCGGCCTTCTTCAGCTGGAGGGGTCCTGCCAAGATAATCTTTTTCTAAATTTCCTTTGTTATGCTGCCAAGAGGGATGTAGCAGGCACCTCCCTTAGCTTAGTCCCCTCTGTCCTGCCTTCAGGCTGCCTCCTTCTGAGGCGCTCGCTCTGCAAACTGCTCTCGGGCTGCGTGGTGCCGAACCAGGCTTCCTCCTGTTGCAGGGCATCTCTGTGCCGCTGCCCCAGCACAGAACCAGCTTCGCTGGCAGCATCCCATTGTTACTGCACCCCTCCACAGGGATTAAAAACCAAACCAGTGAGTGCTGCATTTGCCTGTTCTAATTTTCCAGCAGTAACTTTGTCGTGACCCCCATATCCCAGTCCATCCAAGTTTCTATGTAAAACTGCAAGCAAGGGTGTTTGTTGCTTTTCTGGGTACAGGTGATTTAATTGAGGGGATGGAAGAAAAGATGATGGTCTCCGTTTCAGTTTTAACCCTTCTAACGCCTGCTGCAAGCAGAAGTTAGGAAACGTGGGTACGCCTCTGACCAGGGTGGAAGTGCAGCTTGGCAGCAGGTGGGATCTTGCATATTTGCTCAAACATGCGTAGGCGTGACCCTCATTTGCTGCCACCCAGCTCCTGCTCCACCTCCTGCTCCTGCCAGAAGCCATTGCCTCCCTCCACCCGCGTGGTTCTGCAGCCACCCGCTCGCCTGCCCTCGTGCCCGGCTCGCTTTCAAGGTCGTGGTGCGGTCAGAGGTGTCGCGTGTGCCCGTGATCCCCATGGCAGCCTCCTGGCAGCACCCCTTGCTTTTCCTCAGCCTGTTCCATACCCATCTGCCAAGCTGAGAATGATTTAAATTGCAAGGAGGCTACCAGCTGGAGATGGAAACAGTCCCAGGCGTTGCCTTTGCATAAACACTCACAGGCAACAGCGACGCGCAAGCGCACAGACCCAGGGCTGAGAGCTGCAGTCGGGCTCTCAGGGGTCCTGCTGTTCTGAAAAGCATCTTCGCAGCACTGAAGGACAGCGAGGACCAACCCAGAAGTCAGTCCTTGTGTCCAGCTGACACCCAACAGCCACCCAGACAGCACATTAAAACGGGCTTTGACCTCTCTGGCACCCGTTCTCCAGCCTTTTGTTCTCATGCTCGGATGCTGAGCGATGACCTGGATCCACAGCCAGTAGGAGTGGGCCAAAAGTCATTCATAATTGGGGACCGCTATTGAAAAATCGAACTTCCAACTCTTCCTTAGAGAAATACTGAAAGTTCAAAAGATTTTCAAAAATTGCTGCAAAGTCGCCACCAGCAGCAGGCAACGCTTCCTTTGCCAGAGTCCATCGCTACAGCAAAAGGTAAAAGCAAAATAGCAATGCTGGCAGCAGCTCTCTCCAGCACAAAGCTGCACGTTAGACAGGGTTATTACTGAATACAGCTACAAGCATGCTGTAAATATCAGATAATTGGTTTTGGGCTACGAAAGACAACGCCCTGCAATAAATCTGCTAGACTTGTATGAAATGTCTCACCTGTCAGGATTCACAGCTGATCCTGAGCACAGCACTCCAGCAAAGCTTGAGTTTCAGAGCTACAGCATCCTCTGCCAGGCTGCTGGCACTGCGTCTGGCTG